TTTCATCGTGGAGGGGGATAATTCCATTTATTTGATTTTGAATGGGGCCACCGCGCGGAGTTTGCCGCGTTGCAGGGTTGAAGGGTTTCCTTCGCGGTGTTGTCGGCGCCCGGGGTCCCCTCGGGGGCTTTTTATGGCGGCTACGGCAGCCCTCCGTGCGGGATGGGCGGCACACGAGGAGCGAGAGTCGGCGCCGCGCCACCCGCACGATTGCGCCGGGGCTCGGCTGAACGGCCAACGAATTCAGCTGCAGTGCGCCGCCAGCTGCCCCGTATTCATGAGGTGAGCATCCAACAACGGCGGAGGCCAACAGACGGAGAGCCCAGCCCGGTAAGAGGGAGGTGCAGGTGCGGAGTCTGCCGGACCAAAGGGACCTTGTCGCAGCCCATGCCACCGCCAGCCTCTTCCTACAGAGGCCTCCAGCTGGCCACAGCTGCGACCGATTGATGTGTGTGTTCCTCTGCGAGAGGGACCCAATTGATAATAATAGTGGTGGCACATGTACCCGCAATTTAGGAGGGGTTGCAGGAGCCCAGGCCGCGGGCAGCAGCACAGAGAATCCGTCTCGAATTGCGGATTTCCGAAGCTTTGACGGCGCCATGCGGTGCCCGATGAATTCCTCGCCCGGCCAGCTGCTGAACGCGTCTGAGTTGTTATCCCCTCCAAACCGGCAAATTGGATCATACCGAATCGACGGCGTGGGAGAATGTTGCATCTATTTTTTGGCGTTGCCTGTTTTTAAGGGGGTGCTGCTGCCTTGGCCTGCCCTTCTCTGCGTGTCCTTCTCACCCTCCTCTCTTCCTCCTTCTTCTCTCTGCCCCTCGCCAGACTGTGCGTGTGTGTGTCTTTGCTACGGTGACAAGAGTGGGGATGGCTGGCCGTGTGCTGTTGGTGTGTGCCCTCTGCGTGCTGTGCTGCTGCGGCGGCGGTGTCGGTGCGTGGGGTGGCGGCTACTGCACGGAGAGTGACTGGAGGGACTTGAGGGCGGTCGCGAAGGACATGACGGAGGCGGAGATTGAGGGGCAGTACTGCAGCGGCAAGCCGGAGTTTGTGCAGGGGCTGCGGGCAAGTCTGCAGTCTGTTAATGGCGAAGACGAAGGCGAAGAACAGAAGACGAGCGCGGGGGATGGAAAGGAGACGAGCGGTAAGGAAGGTACGGGTGTAGATGAAGCTGGTCTTTCGACAGACAAGAGCAAGAACGGGAACGCAACAGATGAAGAGCCTCCTGCGAAGGGGTCGGGAGGGGCAAGCCACACCTCGTCGCCGGACGATCAAAAGACACAAGATGGTGGAGTGGGGCAAACAGATTCACCACAAAAGCCAACAACCAACAACGGGGAGGGAGCGGATGGAAAAGAAAGCCCGTCAGGTGACACGGATAGCACCAGGGATCAATCAGGGGGCGGCACTGTAAATCCGGAGGAATCGGAACGCACGAAGGGAGAAGAAATACCACCGCGGCAGGGAAGCTCACCTTCACCATCACCAAAAGGAGAAGAGCCGTCGTCGCCAAGCCAACCAGAAGAAGGGCGTGGGCCCTCAACTGACGTCAGTCAAGGAGAAACCAATGCAGGGAAGGAGGGGCAATCGGCAGACGACAACGGTTCTGCCACGCAAAATCCATCGCACGTGCCGGAAAAAGGGCCGCAGGAGAAACAGGCAGCGGAAGGAGACCCAGAGCAGAGCCACCAAGGCCATCCTTTACCCCCACAACCGCACACGGAGGGTACTCAAAATACGCTGAGCGACGACGCAGATTTGCAGGGCGGTGAAAAGAAACCAGCAGCAGGGCACACAGACAGCGCTGCAAAGGACTGCTGCGGCTACGACTAACACTGGCAACGACGCCGAAGTGCAGTCAAAGCCGG